CAGTACTGGGAGCGGCACAGGTAATGGGCCCGCTATGGAATTGGCATCCGCAAGTCTTGTACTTTCTCATACCGTCATTTTCGCTAGATGTCAGTGATCTGGGACTTCTCAACATTGGTAGCCTTGGGTTTCTCGTCGGGAATGTACTTGGATTGTTGTTTCTGAGCACCATCTGTCTTGGGGAGGCGGAGGGGTTGTTGGGGTACCTGCCAGTATCCGGTGGTGCATCCCCATTACGCTGTAACTGTTTTAATATAAGATAATTAAGTCCTCTTGTTGACTATCTGCTTCGGATCGTGTACGCTTCCTCGTTTCAATCCTGTCTTGAGTATCGTCACTTTCTCGAGCCCTATTAGCTAGCCCCTGCAACGTCATAGTTCAGTGAGCATTACGAGACAACCCCTGGCTCCGATGCAACTTTTATGTTTTGACGCCAAGTCGCGGAGCCTAGGCTACAAAGCAGCGCACGCATCGCGCCCTATTCATATTCTATGGATCAATGAAGCCGTAGAAATGAAGTCTGATCAACTTACCTTGCGGAGATTGGGCAAGCGATACAATCACACGAAGCGAGGCGGTCAGCTGGGTGGGGTCTGAGCGTGATGCGTCACGATATCAGAATGATCTACAGACAAAGGTAATCACCTTTCCTTGCCAACATCAGTGGAAGTGGGCTTTTGCACAGTTCGTCGAACACTTTGAGGTCGTCTATGCATTGATCAACATGTGGACAGGACGCAGGATGGTTCACAGACGCACCACATTCAATGAGACAGGTAAGGCCGCTTATTTTGCTAATCTTGGAGTTGTCGCCAGCACCTTTGGCCCTCTTGATGTCAGTGGCTGGGACTTCTCGACATCGATAGCCTAGACGATGGAGATGCCGTGGGATGGCGACAGGAAGATAACTTGAAGGTAGGGAGATTACGCTCTGGAGCAGTGTGACATGAAGTCAAAACAGGCCCCCTCGAGGAACGGCGGGGAACATAAGAAGACACAAACTTACAGAATGACATTGTGTATAGAAAACTGAGGGTGATAAGGGTGTAGTGGTAGAAACGACTAAGGAACGATGACCGCGCGCTATCTGACGCACTTAGTACATAGGTGTAGCATGTCATACTATAAGTTATAGTGCCACACAAGGGTGCGCACGCTGGTAGACTTGTAGAATCGACGCGATGTTGCACCGTCCACGCTCAACACACGTATGAAAATTTTCATATATCACCACATGGATTTTGTCAAATCCAGACCTCGTTATATTAGGTCTCACGGGGACAGAACCAGTTCTCACTGGAGGTTATATATCATATGAACTTGGGGTTCATACTACATTTGTTCAAGACCATCAAACTCGGAAGATCTGAGTTGATAACATCGCCGCCGAACGCGCACTTCTCATCGTTCTAGACGTTTGGAAGGATCGATGTGCCGGTCTAATTTCGTTCTACCGCCATAGGGACTGGAACGGTTTGTTCCAGGCTGAACCCTTCTGATCCAAGATAGGTCCAACTTTGCGTACTCCGTTTATGCGCTCATAACCAAGTCATATCATAAATACAAATTGGAATAGAAATGTCTTTCAAAGCCCCAGCTCTTTCTTCCTTCACCCACCCACCCCCTAATCAATCCATCTCTGCAGCCAGTTGCCATCGCTGCAGTTCTTTTGTGCAATGCCTGGCCAACGCATTTCTCAGCCTAATCCGCCCCCTGATCCTTCTCATCTCCCCGATTCCTTGATAGATAACTGCGTAAACACAGACACTCAGTCAGTTATAAGTGACGCCGAGCTTGCATCCCTCAGCAAGTTCAAGCAAGCTGCGAACTACATCACTGCAGGTGAATAGCCCCTATCTTATGAATCGCGTCATCGGTTGAGCTCAGACATATCATTAGCAATGATTTTCTTGAGGGACAATGTCCTCCTCGAGAGGAAGCTTACTTTTGATGACATCAAGCCCCGCCTTCTTGGGCATTGGGGTACTTGTCCCGGTCTCATCCTCGTGTATGCGCATCTCAATCGCATCATCAAGAGGTCAAATTTAGACGCATTACTTGTGGTAGGACCTGGTTGGTATCATGTCCATTCAACTTTGGCATATTCACAGGTTCAATCATCTCTGACGAACTATCTAGGTCACGGTGCACCAGCGATTCTCTCTTGCTTGTGGTTGGAAGATTCGCTTGCGCCTTTTTGGCAGTCTTACACTCGTGACCGAGCTGGATTAACCAGACTCATTACAAAATTCAGCACGCCTGGAGGATTTCCAAGGTAAGCTCTGCATATTCGCAACACTTCCACTTTGTTAACAGGCTCACAGCCATATCAATGCCGAGACTCCTGGAGCTATCCATGAAGGCGGAGAGCTAGGTTATGCTCTGAGTGTCGCCTTTGGCGCTGTAATGGATAATCCGAACCTCGTTGTCACTTGCATCGTAGGTGACGGAGAAGCGGAGACTGGACCCACTGCGACCGCATGGCATGGATTCAAGTACATTGATCCTGCCGAGTCGGGCGCTGTACTTCCTATCGTGCATGTCAATGGGTTCAAAATTTCGGAGCGTACCATCTACGGGTGCATGGACGACAAGGAACTGATTGCTTTGTTCAGGTTGGTTGATGTATGCATGCCGGTTGATTTTACTGACGCCATGCTCAGCGGCTATGGCTACCAAGTCCGCATAGTCGACAACTTGGCAAATATTGACCAGGATCTCGCAGGAGCTATGGAATGGGCCCTCAGCGAAATTTCTCGTATTCAGCGCGCGGCACGTTCTGGAAATCCCATCGTCAAGCCTCGCTGGCCAGTCCTTATTTTGCGCACCCCGAAAGGCTGGACCTGTCCTAAGCAACTACACGGCGAGTTCGTCGAAGGATCGTTCCGTTCACATCAAGTACCTCTTCCCGAAGCCAAGACTTCGGAGGAGGAGCTCAAGTTGCTGCAAGCTTGGTTGTCTAGCTACCAGCCTGAGGAACTTTTCACTATTAGTAGCGCAGAAGGCAAAATCGACGGTCTACCTGTGAACGATGTGCTCAGCATTATTCCTGACAATAAGGAGAAGAGATTGGGCATGAGGAAGGAGGCTTACGCTGCCTTCCAGCCGCTCACTGTCCCCGATTGGATGCCGTTTGGTATTCAAAGTGGTCATGAGGCAAGCTGCATGAAGACGATTGGTAATTACCTTCGCGAGGTCATCAAAAAGTGAGTATCGTATACATGGCTTTCACTTCCGGTGTTAAAATTCGCATTAGAAATCCGTCTACCTTCAGGATTTTTTCTCCTGACGAGTTGGTTTCAAATAAGCTGGATGCTGTATTTGATGTTAGTGGGCGGAACTTCCAGTGGGACGTCGCTTGCCGTGCGCAGGGGGGACGTATCATCGAAATCCTTTCGGAACACACTTGCCAGGGTATGCTACAAGGTTATACACTCACTGGGAGGACGGCCCTGTTCCCGACCTATGAGGCTTTCTTGGGTATCGTACATACCATGATGGTGCAATACAGCAAGTTCACGAAGATGGTTTGTGTTCTATATTCACCTTCTGACCTGTATTTAACTTGCATCCCGCAGGCCTTCGAGACCGATTGGCGCCATGATGTCGGCTCTGTCAATTACCTTGAGACGTCCACATGGGCTAGGCAGGAGCACAATGGCTTTTCGCACCAAAACCCATCTTTCATTGGCGCCGTCCTCAATCTGAAGCCGAAGCTTGCGCGGGTATATCTTCCACCCGATGCTAATTGCTTCTTATCTACGTTGGCGCACTGCTTGAGAGCCAAGAATTATATCAACCTGATGGTCGGGAGCAAGCAACCAACCTCGGTGTGGTTGAGCCCAGAAGAGGCGGATCGGGTACGTTTTTCCGAGCTACTACTGGGATCGATCGAACTGATATATCAAAAGCACTGCGTGGCTGGTGCTTCTGTTTGGAAGTTTGCGAGTGTCGACGATGGAGTAAACCCTGATGTGTAAGAACTATTCGGTAGTCTATGACTGTCTATTCGCATGATCTAACACACCCTTAGCGTCCTCGTCGGTATCGGAACGGAGGTCACTTTTGAAGTCATTGCAGCCGCTGCTCTCCTTCGCAAACTTGTCCCGGCGCTCCGCGTCCGTGTCGTCAATGTGACGGACCTGATGATTCTTGGTCCGCATGGAAGTCACCCTCACGCACTGAGTGATGAAGACTTTGATACACTGTTCACCAAGGATAGACCTATCCATGTCAACTACCACGGCTATCCCATCGAGGTGAAGGGCTTAGTGTTCGGCAGGCCGGGTATAGACAGGATGTCAATCGAGGGGTCAGTTTCAAATCTTCCCTGACTTTGTCCCATGGTTGATAGTGGTCGACAGGTATCGCGAGGAAGGAACCACGACGTCTCCATTTGATGTTCGTTATCCAAACTGAACGTTTTCAATTTTTTGCTGATTTTTTTTCGTGTAGATGATGCTTTGCAACCATGTCTCGAGATATCACGTTGCTGCTGCCGCTGTTCGTGCTGGCGCGTTATTCAATGCAATGGTTTCAACGGAGGCACATGAGAAGGCTAGCTATATCATGCATCTGGCGCAAAAAGACAAAGAGTATATTTACCGCGAGGGCCAAGGTAGGTTAACATCGACTTTGTATCGCCTCGCGATGGACTGACGGACAATCAGACCCCGATGGCACATTCGATACACCCGTCTTTGGAGATGCGAAGAAGTAAGAGAAGTGAGGCTTCCGGTCTGTTCAAATGGGTGTATGTTATCAGATGAGTGCCAGTGTAAAATTGCCTCGAATACTGTATCAAAGAAACGAACTGTGTAGAATTACGAGGAATGGAAAAGGACTACTAGTAGTACCGGGGACCTGGTATCAAGTGATCATCGGGAATGTTACCATGATTACAGTAAACCATACTTGACACAAAATTTTTGTCACACTTGGAATGTTGGCACAACACTTGCAATTCTTCGAGAGGACCTGGAACTTATGGGAGAAAAAAGCGACAGGCCTGGGACTCGAACCCAGAATCTCTAGCGCATGGTCACGTGACAAATCCTGTCATCACCGGAAACTAGCGCGTTACCATTACGCCAACCCGCCTTGATCATGGTCATCGTAATGTGTAATTTTCTTTTCGCAGTCTTTTACCACGCCACCTACTTCCGTATGTTTGCTCTTGAAGGTCATCTTGGTGCTCTGACTTGTCTTTCTCATCTGTCATTGTTCGCTTGCTGGTTTTCCTAGTTCACTGTACTAATATTCGCGCACTTGATCGTTGAGGTGCCATGTCATTCTTTGGGACTGCCACGGCATCAGCGACGCCTGCTGCGACAGCCGACAAGGACATCGAGGTTCCCGAGCCACCAACCGATTCCATCTCTTCGCTCTCTTTCTCTTCAGCAGCGGACTATCTTGCAGTGGGAAGTTGGGATAATAATGTGAGTCTACCTAAATTACCGTGTTGTTAATGGTCATCGACGCGTCAACAAGGTCCGTCTGTATGAAGTTGGCGCTGGGGGACAAACACAGGGGAAGGCCATGTACGCCCACCAAGGACCCGTGCTTAGTGTTTGTTGGAACAAGGTTCGCGCGTTATCAATGATTTCAAATGTGATATCATCTGAATCATTGAGTAGGACGGTAACAAAGTAATTTCTGGCGGAGCAGACAATGCTGCACGCATGTTTGACATTACCAATGGACAAACAACACAAGTCGCTCAGCATGATGCGCCCATAAAAGTCGTCAAGTGGATAGAGACGCCGCAAGGCGGCATTCTGGCCACTGGGAGTTGGGACAAGACGATCAAGGTTCGTGCACACGAACGTTGCACGAGCGAACACGGTGCTGATCCCATGATGCATCACGGTTGCTGGCTCGCTTTGAATAGTATTGGGACCTTCGGACAGCCAATCCTATCGCCACAGTACAATTGCCGGAGCGTTGTTACAGCATGGACGTACAATATCCACTCCTTGTTGTTGGCACCGCGGAACGCCACATTCAAATATACAACCTGACGAACCCAAACACGGCCTACAAGGTCCCGTCCAATGTCATGTCCGTGTCAGAGCGCAGACTCAAACGATGTTTACGCAGACTATAACATCGCCTTTGAAGTGGCAGACACGTGTTGTCTCGTGCTTTACCAACTCCACCAATAGTGGTTTTGCAGTTGGCAGTATCGAGGGACGCGTGGCAATCCAGTACGTCTGTCATGCAATAAACACGCCTTGTGTGATTTCATTTTTGACTCGTCATCTGTGCAGATACGTCGAAGACAAGGATAGTTCGTGAGTGCGCCCTGACTAATGGCAAGGATTCAGGCGCTTATGTTGGTGGTAGCAACAATTTCTCTTTCAAATGCCACCGTAGAGACCAGACACCGAACGCAAAAGATCAGTCTTTGGTGTACGCTGTGAACGACATCTCATTCCACCCCGTCCACGGGACTTTCTCCACATGCGGTGAGCCTTGCCAATAACCCTCGATGCTGTCTTGATTTGCTTACATCCACGAATAGGGTCCGACGGCACTATCCACTTCTGGGATAAGGATGCGCGGACGCGACTAAAGAGTATGTTTCACACATTTCAAACATGATTGATCCAAGTCTTATGCACGTGTTATTCAGCCTTTGATGCCGTACCAGGTCCAATTAGTGCCACGACCTTCAACCGCAACGGCACCATCTTCGCGTATGCCGTATCCTATGACTGGTCCAAAGGACATAGCGGAATGACTCCCGGACACCCCAATAAGCTCATGTTGCATGCATGCAAAGACGAAGAGGTGAAGAGGCGACCGAAAAAAGCGTGATCGTCGTGTTGGCCAGTTAAACTATCTCACAGTAAAATTGTACATATCTTGCTCGTCCTTGATTCCTATAATAACAGCGATGCGGTCCGCTGATATGTGCGACCCGTCATACTTAGGGCACTGTTTCTTATGCATGCAATGTTCGTTTTTTTCGCATGTGTAGACATTATGGGGGATGCCAGTCATAGAGTTATCATGTCGACGTCCTCAGGAGCTACATAAGAATCGCGCCAGGCTTCCCAAACATGAAACTGGGTGTAGTTCGCGACTTATCTCACAGGCACGCAGCCCACGAGCCGAAAGGGCGCGTCGCAAACCAACGTTGGCAGGTTCGTGTGGCAGGCCCAGATGGTGTTATTAGTATGGTTGGTGAGATGGTTTTGCAAGGGGTTTTGCCCACAGACCCTTGCTCTTGGGATCGAGCTTTCTCCCAAGCTTGTTGGTCAGTGTCATCAGCACCTAACCATGTTCTCCTCTGGAACACTCAATATCTCAACGGCCCTGCTGGACTTTATGTTGTTACCCAGGGAGATGAGATCTTCACATAGTTACATGGAGGCAGACGAAGTCGCTGGCAAAATAGCCTGCATCGTTGATCGGAAATCGCATTGATTGCGCAGAACATCAGAGTCAGAGGTAAACAAACAAATGTAGCTCGAGACCCCATGTACCCCCATGTACCAATGTTGCCAGTATTGTGTTGCTACCAAGTCTGTCTTCCTTATTTCCCGACCCAGAGGATGGGCACACACATCATACGGCGCGATACTGCATGCATCGATGATGACATTAGTAAGTACAAAGTAGACGCACTTCCTGGTCATGTGTGGCACTGATACGTCGCCACCAATTCTACGTCCCGCGACAGCAGGGCTCATGACGTCTTTCCCTTCTTCACCTCCAGCAAGGGATCGAGAGACGACTCTGGTTGACGATACGAGCCACCGACGCGATCCGCCCAGGTGAAATACTGATGCAGAGGGTTTAAATGTCACATGAAGGAACAAATGTAACGAGGGAGCTATGCGTACCTGACCGTAGTTCACAGTGAAATAGAGATGGTGTAGTGTATGGTGTGCGGGACCATTAATGACGTGCTCAAGGGGGTGTCCGGTTATCATATCTGAATCATGAATCTGTCCAAGCAACGTCAGAATCGCATCAGGGGACGCAGTGTTCGGGATTTCGTACCAATATGCTCCAGAAGTTTACAAAAACAAAAAGGCCGAGGTATAACCACCGGTGGAGGGGGAAGAAGACTATGAACAAGTGATATGGCACGGATTGTAGGTATCCATCCACCGGGTGGAATGCATGCGACGCAAAGGGGGTTGGTACTGAACAGACATGTTAATTTACAAGAATATGGAAAATACATAGTACATACTTATCCACTTATGGTGTGGCTTATGGAAGGTTTTGTAAAGGGCAGGATGATGCAGAAGACGATGAACCCAGTATATGGCGTAATCCGTGAAAAACAGGAAGCTGAATATTTGTGAACTCTGGATTTCAGTATGAATGGAAAGGACGCGTACAATGGTATTGAAAAGCCGAGATAGAGCCATCCGTATTCATCGACGTTGTCATAGAGTCGAGAATACCCCATGACCTCTGCTTGGAACCATGGAAGCGTCAAGAGGGTCATAGCTGGGAAGGCTTGTAAACTGGCTTGAATTTCCAACTTGATCTGGTTTTTTAGGAAACGTGGGTGCTGCATCATATCATGGTTGAATATAAATTGGTAGGAGAGGCCGGCGAAGATGAAGTATAGGAAGTGAATTCCAATGAGGGTTATGACGCTCAAGGACAACAATTGCCTAGGAATATGATCTCGGGGCCATGCGGATTGGGGTGTAAATGATATTGTAGAAAAATTAGCAGATGCAAGGGATGCTGAGGAAGTGTCAAAGTGGTCGTTAAGTGGGACGAGACGAGCCCAAACTTTGTCGAGAAAGTATTCGTCGGCGATGTGTAGAACGAGATCCATGACGGCGAAAGCAAGTAAAGATTGTTATGCCCGTACACGATGCCCTTGCGCTCACAACTACGGGCAGCGAAGTTGTAGGGGGCGGGTGAAATATTCGGGTAGACTTTTTATACATGTCGTCAGTAGACATCAGACCACTTTTTTTTCGCCACCGTGGCGAACCAGACACATGATTGGATCACACAACATTTAATACGTCAGCAAATGCTAATAAATTAACCTCCGCGCATTATCTTGCCACCTAAGCAGTCTATTATATTTACCTAATTCTCAGGTCTCAAATGTGGGTGCATAGCGCAGTGGTAGCGCGCATGCTTTGCAGGCGCTTATGTAATATGTGTACATAAGCAATCGTGTATGAGGTCCAGGGTTCAATCCCCTGTGCATCCAAATTTTTTTCTCATTCTTCGTTGAACTAGTGCTGAGAAAATCACTACTTTTATTACGTTGGCAACGTTTGAGTGGATATTCGTTATTCCGAGTTGTTTTTTAGGATCTCACGTAACTTGTTTTCACCAAGTTCCGGTAGCTCCATGGCGTTTGGTTCTGCTTTTTTCCAGAGAGAAAGTGGGCAAACCTTTGGCCGACTCGGAACGCGTTCAATGACCTAATTTCCGTTGCCCCTAAGAAATTTCAGCATCCTCTCCATAGGAAGAAGCGCAATATCTTCGTGGACCCTCCCCTAATTGTGGTCTGAGCATGGGCTCTCCGCAACTGTCGGCTCTGAACTTGTCGCTTTCCATGAGTATTTTCCTGTCTAGAAAAATCTAACACGCAATGAGCACGATAGATTGTCCCAGCCACGGCTGTCAGAAAACGATGGGAACGCATTCAGGTTCCCGTGACGCTGTAGCAGCCAATGACACTTCTCTGACCCCCGCAGCAACTTACCTCGAGGGTTTCCGGTCACCTGATTGTCCTACTGGAAACACAATGTTTTCGAACTTTCTGCTCTCTTATCATACAGCGTGGCTCGTTCCTGATTTTCCCCCCGAACCTCGTTTCATTTCTCGAACAAGTGCACGTCAAAGGCTGTCCTATTCTCTCATGTTCTGTGCTGAAATATATCTGGCACTGCTCGGCCGGACCTGCGTCGCATTCCTGGAAACGCTTCCATGTGATGGCATACTGACCTATTGTTCATCCACGGCTTAAACGCGTGTTCGCCGCCAACGCCAACGAGCATGAATTACACAATCATAGAATCACAGCAACGGAATCCAAGAATTGGAAGCCACGCTTCTGAGCAGCCCCTCATCGCAAGGCGAATCCATCGCGTGGTCTCAATGTGATACAACGCTGCCAACACGTGCCACGTTAAACCATCTGTTTAGTCCTGATATCTCCTTGCTCCGAGTTCACGTTCAACCCTCCAACTCACCAACCATGGGTCAACTTCTTGCATGTTCAAGGCGCAGTCAATTGAACAAGTTCACGGACGAGGAGCCAAAAGCTCCTCCTCCTCCTGGACCTCCAGACCGCGAAACCGTTTACATTGTGTATGTTGTTCATTCTCCTTGAGTAGCCATCCTTATCAGTTCACATCAGGGTCATGGGATCCACTGGGAGTGGAAAGACGACGGTGTGTCGCTTAGTTGATTTCGATGACGCTGAGTTCGCTCACAAAGGGAACTATCAGTTCATCAACTTGGCGTCGGGGTCCAACCTCAGAGCGGGTTCCGGGTTGGAAAGTTGCACCAACGAAGTACAGACGTCGTTGCCGTTCAACGTGGGCGGACAGCCAGTGATTTTGATTGATACTCCGGGATTTGATGACACAACCCTGACGGACACCGACGTCTTGAGGATTATAGCTGCGTACCTCGTCACCACGTATGTCCGCAATCGCTCCAAGGATTCGATGACTGACGCACCGTTTTTACAGCAACAAGCAGGGAGCACGCATTGCAGGAGTCATTTACATGCATAGAATCTCCGACTTGAGAGTCGGAGGTTCGGCCCGACGCGATTTCAGAATGTTCCAAGAGCTCTGCGGCGAAGAAGCTTACCCCAACGTTCTCATTGTCTCCAACATGTGGGACGCAGTCACCGCGGAAGACGGCAACGCTCGAGAGCAGGAGCTTGCTACCAAGGATATCTTCTTCAAGCCGATTCTTGACAAACGAGCAAAGATGTTGCGGCACGATAATACCCAGAAGTCCGCTCACAGCATCATCCAGAATCTCGTCGAGAAGGAGCCTGTAGTCCTTCAAATTCAGCGGGAATTGGGTGAGGGCATGGATATCACGCAGACGGCCGCATACAAACAGCTTGATAAGGAGATGTCTGAATTAGCGGCGCGACACGAGAAAGAACTGGAGGCTCTGAGGGAGGAGATGGCGGATGCCGAGCGGAGCCAGGACGAGGAGACCCGAAATGAACTTCAGGAGGAAGTGAGGAAAGTCGAAGCCGAACTGCAACAGGCTCAGAACCAGGCATCGCGCCTTGCGTCCGAATACCAGGCAGAACTACGTAGGATCGAGGAGATGTTGCATGTGAAGGAGGGGTGATTCGTACATAGTGTGTTCGTAGTGCGTTACATTATGTAGGTTTGCCTTTGAAGTGGCTCACTGTATGTGCCTAGTTTATTATTCTTCAGCGACTTTCTTGCTAGTGTATGGAGATGTTGACAGTTGGAGTAGCGATCTAGACTTGCTGGAACATATCTTCATCTTCACCAATCAGCTACGGTCCTCGTTTGGTGAAGCTACTGCGCGATACCGGGGTATTGAATGTGACTTTGGGTTTGGCGCAAACAACTTTTCAAAGTCACCACCGTGCCGTAGGTGAACGTCGTCCATGAGATCGCCGTGTTCCCAGAAACACGCTGCATCGTTCAGGGGTTTCAAGGACATTCAATTAGAATTGACCTTGAAAGCAGCACGGAACCATCGTGCAAGTCTTTATAGCCGATCAGTAAAACGCTGAAAAGGTGTTTTCAAATTTCGTTCTTGGAGACAGTGCCTCACCTAGAGCCGCAAACATGAGCCGTCTGTGACGGTCATGCGCCACGGTGATCAGAAGTGACCCATGGCGCTGTGAAGAGTAGGCAGGGTGCAAGAAACCGGTTGTAGATATAAACGTACGTTCAGAAGATTTACAAGTCGAACCCACTTGTTCTCTGCCCAGCTTCCTCTACGAGCGAGCTTCGTGTCAACCCTGGTCTAACATCTACTCTCCCTTACTTCTCTTTCATCTGTTTACCTACCGGGTATCAATATGGCCCACCGCGGGAAAGATATCAGGATTGCGTACGGTTGTTTCTGACTACCCAGATCATGTTTTTCTAAGCCCCCGTTTACAGGGTTATGGGAGCCACTGGAAGTGGCAAATCAACGGTACGCGTTTTTCACTGAGAAATTGCCATCCGTAATTACTGATCACGAGTTCTATAGTTCATCAACCTTGCCAGCGGGTCAAGTTTGCCTGTTGGCCGTGGACTAGAGAGTTGCACCTCCGAAGTACGAACGTCGAAGCCATTTCTCCTCAACGGACGGATAGTCACATTGGTTGACACGCCCGGGTTTGATGATACGACCCGTAGCGACACGGACATTCTGTCGTCGATCGCTGCATACCTTTCAAACACGTAAGCTTCTCCTCTACATGGGACACAGACCGACCTTGATGAGTCAATTCGCAGTTACGAACAAGGTTCCAAGCTCGCTGGCATCATTTACATGCACCGCATCTCCGATGTCAGGATGGGCGGCACGTCGAAACGTAACTTCCGTATCTTCCGCGAGCTCTGCGGAGACAGCACCCTCCGCAACGTGCTCATCGTGACCAACATGTGGTCAAACGTCGACCCCAAGGTCGGAGAGGCCCGAGAACGAGAACTTGCGAGCAACGACAAGTTCTTCAAGCCCGTCCTTGAGAAGGGCGCTCGAATGCTCCGCCATGACGGCACCCAGGCGTCCGGACATGCCGTCCTGCGTCACTTGATCAACAGTCAGGCTGCGACACTCCGTATCCAGCATGAACTTGTGAACGAGCACAAAGATCTCGCTCACACTGGCGCTGGCGCTGAGCTCACTCGCGCATTGAAGGAGCAGGCAGAACGTCATGACGAGGAGCTGAAAAAGTTGCGCCAAGAGATGCAGGCTGCAATACACGCCAAGGACGAGGAGAGCAAGAACGAACTCCAGGAGGAAGTTGACAAGAAGCGGGAAGAGATCGAGCGTATCCAGCGCAATGCAGAACGCATGGCCGCAGATTTCGTCGCTGAGAAATCACGACTGGAGTCTATGATCGCGGACATGGAAGCCGACAACCGCCGCTACCTGCAGGACCTTGAGGGACTACAGGAAAAAGTCCACCAGGCTCGCAAAGAAGTCGAGACGTCGCAGATCGAGCACGCTCGACGCGAAAGCGAACTCCTCGCCGCCCAAAAAGAGGAGGCTGAGCGCAAGGCTCGCCTGCTCGAAGAGGAGCGCATGGCTCGAGAGCTCGCTGAAGTACGGCATCAGGAGCATCTCCGCACCCTGCAGGAAGAGATGTCACGTGCTGAGGCCGAGAAGAAGAGAGCTGAAGCAGAGCAGGCAGATAAAATCAGAGCAGAACGCGAGAGGGCTCTCGCTCTTGAAGCGAAACTCCAGCATCAGGCGAAAGCCAGGGAGGAGGAAGAACAAGCCAGCAAAATAGCAGAGGAGCGTGAGAGAGCTCGCTTGCAGGACGAGATCGCGAAAGCTCGGCAAGAGATTGAAAGGGTTGCGGCCGAGCAGATGCTCCGTGACCGCGAGATCGCTGCTGCTAGGCAGGCCGAAGCAGAAGCTCACGCACTCCTTCTCGAAGAACAACAGCGAGCCATCCAGCGCGAGAAGGAGAAGCATCAGAGACAAATTGACGAGGAAACTGAGCGCGTCCGCCGAGGCTTGGAGGAGGCTCACGCCAAGAAAGAGCAAGAGGCACTTGCTCTCCGGCAGGCCGAAGAGGCGCGTATCCGGCAGCTAGAAGAGCAGCAACGCACCAGGCTGCGCGAGGAGGAAGAGCGCAGACTGAAGCTACAAGAAGAACTCGCCCGCGAACGAAGAGAAAAGGGCGCGGCTGCCAAAGCAGACCAGGCTAGAAAAGAGAGCGAAGAAGCAGCAGCGAGACAGGCCAGAGAAGCCGCCCGAGCAAGACAGGAGGAAGAGCGCCGGCAGACCAAGCTACGAGAGGAAGCCTTCCAGAAGCAACTCGAAGAGGAAGTTACACAAGTCCGGAGGGCGATGGAGAAAGAGCTCGCCGACAAGGAACGCCGGGCTGTGGAAGCCAAGCGAGCGGAAGAACTCTCCAGGGCGCTCGCACTGGAGGCCCAGGAGAAATCTAGGCTAGCGGAAGAACACGAGCGTAAGAAGAAAGCAGAAGAAGAACTTGCAATGCTTTACAAGCGAGTGGCGGAGGCGGAA